AAATGAAAGCACGGGATTAAATATTTACATGAAAGTATATGGATTATGTATTTGCTGCATTCGGAGATGTGCTAAAGTTGGTTAAGGCTAGATAAAAATAAAATATAGTCAGAACCGCTCAAAATGCATTGTAATAGAACCATATATAAAAATTTAGTCGAACATTCATTTAGAGAGATATTGCACTTAGGAGGTATATTAGTTTGACCCAAGCGAAGACATGCATTTAGAAAGGCTTTCACAAGATACGTATATAGGGTAGGCCAGGATTCAGAACAAGGTCTTGGAACCAGGTTCTGGAACCAAATTCCAAACCAGGTTCCAAACCAGGTTCCGGGACCAGGTTCTGAACCAGGTTCTGGGACCAGGTTCCGAACCAGGTTTTAGAACTTTTTAAAAACCAAGTTCTTAGGTTTTCAAAATGGAACCTAAAGGTTCTGGAACCAAAACCGAACCTAAACCAACCTAACCATCCCTAATGGTAGCAGTAAACAGACAATAGATCCAATGACGGAATAGATTATGCGTTCTTTTGTCGAACGAATAAACAACATTGGTTGTGTTACATTATTGAAAATTTACTAAATAAAATTTTATACCGAAAAAATATATGCGCCTTATTATTAACGAAACTTCTATGCTTTTATGTAACATCGACGCGGACGCATGTAAGCATGTATCGACATACGTACGTACGTACGTACCAATACGTTTCAGTGCAGATTGTCATGTAACAATATAAAATTTCCCACATATCGATATTTGATATATGAATTATATGCACTAAATTATTTAATGTTATCTGTTAATGAATGCAAAGTGCACGGCTCATCTTATGTTGTCAAAACCGGTTAGCAACTTTTAATACATAGAGCCATTTATGATTTTTATATGTATAAAATTTATTTTGGACAAGCCTATTAAATAATATACAATAATATCGATATACAATCAAATTATATCGCACTTATTATTCGATTACAAACAAGATAACATAATTGATTAGTACTAAGTAATTGCGTAAAGAACTCTGATTTTTTTTTATTTTTTTTTTGTTTAAAGTTAACAAGTTCATTACATTATCTAAATAAATTATTCGAATTATGTGTATGTATATGTATATATATGTATATGACTAGTGAAGAAATGATGTATTGGGACATTAGAGATTAGAACAGTGTTGTCACTTAACCTTCTGTCCAAGCGATGGAAAATGGCCAAAATTCGAGGAGAAAGATAATAAAAAAGACAAAAATGATAAAAATGATAAAAATGATAAAAAAGATAAAAAAGATAAGAAAGATTAACATGAGACATGAAAATTTTCAAGTTATGAGTAGCTACCCCTGAAGTTAATTTAGATAACCCTTAGTTATGTCAATTTTAATGATCTAATGCAGTGTTGGCAATTTTTTACGGCCAACAATTTTTTTATTCTTTTTTTTTTTTTTTGCCGTTTTGGTTGCCAACGGCCCATGGCCTATGGCT